GGGTTCATTAGCGCTGTATTTAAAAAGAAGAAAAAAAAAAAAAAACTCAAAAATACTACTTCATCGAGTCCATTTGAATGACTGCAATAAGCAACAATTATGCAACATTACATAATTTTTGGAAAGAACTTGCAGCCCTGGAAATCATTTTTGAGAAAGACAGCAAAGTACCACCGTTTGTTTAATCACTTTCTTATTTTTGTCAATTTTTATTTCACCCATCATACTGTAGGGAATTTTGGGTATCCTTATGTCAGAAGGATAAATAAATAAAAACAAAAAACAGAGTGCATATTTTCTTTATATTTCAAAATGTTTAATAACATTGGAGTCATTTATAACACTGTATACTTACATCCAATTTACATTTATGTTACATCTAATACAATAAAAAACGCCATCAGAGTGATAGAATCAAGAAAACATTAACAGTGACACACCTTGTATTCTTAGACACTTGTGTATTAACAAACATATCAATAAATTCAACATCAACTCTTACCAAATATGCTGGTTAATAATATCTATAATTCTATTTTTTGTATGCTGCTACATGAACCTACATAAAACATTAGTATCTGTGCAACTGGCAGTGAAATTGATAATTACAATCATTTCTTTCCATTTACAGCACATTAATGAGTAAATTTATCTATTTTTTACAACAAGTACAGCAAATCTGTTGGATGCTATAAATTCTTCCCAGTGAAGATATAAAAAAAATCTACAAGGTAAAATGTGTTCCTTTCCTCATTGCAGTGCAGTTTTTTTTCCTTTCGTTTACTCTAAAGTTTCTCTTTAATTTTTACATCTTAATAAGAAAGAGAAGACATAGCCACTGCTCAAATTAATAAACAAACTAATCAAAAGTTTGAAACTATTAGACTTTCTTAGTGGAAGTGGATGATACGTTCTTAACATTCATGGCAATACTTTTTTTTTCCGATTGTGAAGCATCACAAGGCCACTACTGTAGTATAAACATTGAAAAGTCCACAAATCACAGTCAACACCCTTACTACCCATACCATTTAAGAGAAAAAGAAATTAATACACAAATGATCATCAAAAATACACACTTATAAAAAAGAGAGAAATGACTGGGAGGCGACTCATACGTTCATTGTAAAAGGCAATGGTTATATATATATGCTTCAGACAGGCTCACAGCCTCACTAAATATGGCATAATCCAGCAGTTTCCTACACTGCAGGGATTTCAGATCTCTAAGCCACAACTGTTGAAAGGGCTTTTGCTTTGTCCAATTTTTATTATTTATAAAAAAATATAAAAAAACTTGTTCCTGTTTTAATTTTTATTCTTCTACTTGCCTTCATAAGGTTTCACTAATTCTTTACTGCCAGGCATTGAAATATTTCATGTGCTAGATTTGACAAATTTAAAGAAAATGAACTGTTGAAATAAAAAAAAGTCATTAAAATAAATTATTTAAAATAAATCTGTTAATTTCTGGAAATTATAAAGCATTATTCTGCCATTTACTCCAAAGCTAAGCAGAAGTTGCGTGTGCAAGAGGTGAGCTTCCAGTAAATGCATTCATTGTCACTATGCTACCTAATTTCTCCATTTTGAGTTGACTTGAACTTACAACTTTTTAAAAAATTTCCCTGCAGAGTTCTTAGTTCTGCAAAAATATATCTTCCATGCCTCAGGCAGAGAAAATTATCTATTTATGACTTTGTGAACACAGATACAGGCTTTTTTATTTTGTCCAGAAAAGGATCCCATTTCCCACAGCACAGTTTAAATTTCCTGGACACTGGGACACCAAAAGATTTGCTACCTTAAGTATTCTTCCCACAAGGGAGAAAACAGATTTAACTTCCTCCAAAGATTTTCCTCTAGTGCCTTATCTTGCCTATGCCTGCTACCTCACTTTTTGAATGTTTTTCCAATGGTAGGGTAAGCCTCTTTGGCTTTTCATCCCCAAGATTCCCATTCCTTCACCCACTAGAATTCAGATTGTTCAGAAATCCATTCTGACACTTTGAATTTACCCCCCAAATGGCTGGGCAAACCCTTCAGATTCCATTTTACTAGACTTTATACAGTTCACACACACAGATCAATCCTCGCTGCTTGATTCACCAGACAGAGGGTTTGGTTCTCCCGTTACTCTACACCTGTGAGCAATGGCCTTCTCGTACGCTTTCTTCACTGCTTTCTTGACCGCTGGCTTCTTGTTGTCCAATAACTTGCTCTTGTCCAGACCAGAGTCCACACCCAGAGGGTCCAGCTTGTCCCTGGGTAGCCATTGCCTGGATAATAAAGAAAGAGTTGCCCAAAATGAGATGCTGAATAAGTTTCTAACCCAATATCTGGTTGTGCCAGCTGCATAAAAAGATATCTAAATTACAATCTGCAGACTTTGACACCTAACTTTTCTTTTCAAACAATACCATTCAACAAAATTACAAAGGATAACTACTTTTCAATTTGTAATGTTTTTTTATTACAATCCTTATTATGCTGAAAGAACTACTACATGGACACTGTACAGAAAATTTCAAAATATCAACAATCATGCCAGAGTAATAGTATATAATCCATAAGAAGTTAAGTGAGAGTATTACACAAATAAGCAAACTGTAGTGAACTGAGTAAAAAATTGACTTAAACAGCATACCCATGCCAAGGCGCTGAGAACAACGACAGCCTGTCTGAGTACAGGTTAAAAAGATATGCCAGGCATATTGTCAGCAACTGTGGAACCCACTGAGAAGTCGTGGACTATACTGTTACAGATTGACTCACCATGTTCTTTTTGTATCAAAGAACAGCACCAAATAGACTGGCTCTTCAAATCTCTTCTGCAGGTCTAGCACGCCATCTGGTGGCACGGGAATTGGAACACCATTGTGAAAGTAACCCGTCTTAGGCATCTTGGGGTTGATAATCTGCAAAACAACAGAAAAATAAATTAAATATATCTTTTTTTAATTTCAATAACATTTCATACAAGAATGATTTCATAAAATGCCTCATTTTATCATCAATACGCACTTCAATATTCCCATTAGAAAACCTTGGTAAATTTATTTTTATATTCCATTTATAAAAATAGTTTAGTCCAGTTAGAAAAACCTGCTGTCAGTACCATCAATCACCATGGCACCAGAACCAGGAACCACATAAGACTAATACCAGGCACCACAGGCAAATATGGTACTAGTACCAGGACCTGAATAACACCATCACCAGGAACCACAGGCACTACATAATACCTTCACCAGGCACCATATGGTACAAGTATCAGGCACCACAGGCACAATACAGTACTAGTACCAGGTGCCACAGGCACAATATGGCACTAGCAGCACCAGGCATCAGAGAACACCAGCACCAGGCACTCATGAACAGGTATTACTCCTCTTACCAAAGCAGGATACCATGGATAGCCCCTACACTTGGCCCACACAAGATCCAGTGGCTCTAGCGGAATGAGGTCCTCATCATCAGAGTCATAGCTGCCACTGCGCTTCTTCGTACGGACTGAGGAGGAGATTTTAAACAATGTTAACTTTTTTTTTCAGTAAAACTACAGTTTATTTATGCTGTTAAAGTGGTTATGTTATGGTAATATATAAAAACTACAACTTTATAACATTAGGGTATAGTTGCAGGTTTAAGTATCAGTCATCATCACATAAGCAGTTTTACAAAATGATAAGTTAGTATTTTTTTGTAAGATATTCTGAAAAAAGAACATCTGATATAATTTATTTAGAAATATTTAGTGCTTTCAATGTAAATTCTGAAGTAGCAGAAACATAAAAATGCATACAATAAGAAAATCCAATCATCTCAAAACATTCCATTTCAATTCCATAATATGAATCCACAAAATTCACATTGGAATGCACAAAAACATTCCAATTCAACAGGGAAAGGCAAAACAGATTATCATAGTTTTCAACATGGCAACTGAATTGTTAGGTGCAGTGAACAATAAAGCTACCTCTAACACCAAAAGCGCTAGTGTTAAGCCTCATCTTTAATTCATGCACAGTGTATCTCTGTGTGTATGCAGATTTTCTATTTAGACCATCTAAAGAAGCAGTAGTGTCAGATGCCAGTGCTTCTTTTTTGGCGTTTCTTGCAGATTTGTCTCTCTGGGCAGCAGTGCAAAGTACTGGGGAATCCTTCAATACCCACACTTCTGATAGAGAAAATAGATGGATATGGATAGCACAGTGACAGGGTGGAAAGTAATAATGAAGAGAAAGTTCAATAGATGTTTAAAGATATGTAAATGAGAAATAAAACTTTAAATGGTTTTAAAAAAGAGAAGAATAGAATAGAAATATTTGGAAAACTGAATTTTCTGAACACATAAAAAAAAAAAATTCTTAACAATAAAATAATTCAATAATTACAGAACAGTAACAGCCAATCCCCCCCCCCCCCCTTCAAAATCCCCTGGATTAACTGGGACTAAAAGCCAGAGAAATGATTAAGAAAAAAATATACACATGACAGAGAAATTTAGAACTGAAGACACTAGGTGATGGTAAAAGAAAGAAAAGCGAAGAACACTGAAACCCAAACTTGAAGACTGTGGCACACTGGGGAACTCGGACATAAAAAGGATCCGCTTCCAACCAATGCCCATCAGTAGTGTATCATGTTTGTTTTTCTCTTAATTTGCTGCAGAAACTGATGAAGTGTACTTCAAAATTATATTCTCATCCTACTTTATCATATCTAAATGGATTTCACTGGATTTTAAGTTATACTTGCAAAATAAATGAAATGAAAAAGTTCTCGATAACTTGTTAGTTTTCTATTCTTCCCCACACGTCAACAATCTGGTTTGGCCTTTGACAACTATTACATGGTATTTTTGTTACTTTGTGAAAAATAAATAGTAATGTGGTTTCCTTTTTGTGTCAGCATTGCTTTTTTATGATTTTCAAAATTGTTCTAAGTAGCACAAGAGTTAATTATCGTCATAATTACAAGTATAATCACTGTATAACAGGTATGTATCAGTGTCTGCAGCATAGAGTTCAGGCCAACCTTGAGGAGCCAGCCTACAGTACAACCTGGACCTTGTGGCCATGTAGTTCAGCTCCTGGGATTCAGATAAATCAACATCCCCCAAGGCATCAGTGACCACTGGGCAGTTTTCACTTGACTGCCAACTGTCTCCTGCAGCATGGTCATACAGAAGACTGGGCAGTGGCACACTGTCCATAGCGTCCAGTGATTTGCTTTCTAAAGAAGGAAACCCAGGCGTTGTGACATTGTTCTCGATTACTGTGATGACTTAAAGCAAGGTGAAAGATAAATGTGTGAAAGTAGGAAATAGTTAAGTAAGGAGAATATTTGTCCAGTATATGGGAGACTCTTGTAATGCCCATATCTCCTGCTGAACTGCCCTCTGCAGCAGTATCTTTGCCTATAAGAATTCTGATATCTCTAAAGTCATGTAACAGGGTGACAGGAAATCAATGTAAAGTATGAAAAGGAAGCAAACTGGTAAAGGTGCAAGAATGCAAAAATCAAACTCAGTGACAGACAATAATAGGGTAAATAGCCATTTCATTGTCAACAGAGAATCCTTTATTTAACATTTGGTTTTAGCCCTGGTAATTCAGAATGCATTTTCTATGCTATATAAAAGCAAAGGGTTACTAGGAAGCAATCACAGGTGGCAGATGTAGTGATTTTCATGGCCAAGCAAACAAGCCACATCTATAGAACACCCATGCCAGTACAGAAACAGTTGTTGTAGTTACCTATATTACCTCGTTTAGAGTATCGACTACTGCTGCCCTCGCCTTCCTCATCTTCTTCGCTCTCACTGGACTGGCTGTTAGAATCGGACATGGAGTCATCTTCTGTTGTCCCCAGTTCTGAGGATGTGTCTGAATCTGAGCTGCTGGGGACTTCCTTCTCTGTCCTGTATGTCAAGAAACTATCTCGTCTATTTGACGGCTGTCCTGAGCTAACTTCTGCCTCCGTCTTCGCCGATTCTGAACTTGTGTGGATGCGTTTCGAAGGAGACGAAGGGATCACATCCACGTTGCTGGCACTAGCAGATCGTTTCCTTGAGCTAGGGCTGCTCGTTGGGCTGCCAGGACCTAATGAGTCAGACTTCTGAGATCCGCTTCCTCCTGAATGAGGATCAGTTTTTGGCTTTGGAGGCCTCCCTGGTCCTCTTTTGGGACTTGGAGAGTCCAGTTGAAGAGGCTTCTTAAAGTTCTTTTTGCTAAACAAAACAGCTGTCCTTCTGTTGACCCCTGACGGTGAGGGTGTGGCCGTCTTTGAAGACGTGGGAGTATCTAGGTCAGACAGTCTGCTAGGCGTCCCTGGGAGATCTACATCAAATTTCTTTTTGGATGCTGGAATCACAATTGTTAATTGGTTTTAATTGCAATAATTGTTCTACGAAGAAAAGGCAATTAAAACTTTTTTAGTTCCTAAAGTAACGAAAGAAAAGTTATATCTTTAAAAATATTATCTTAAGCCAATGTGGAAACTACACAATTATATTATTTCTGAAACTGAAGTCACTCTGACTCACAACTATGCCCTGGTGTAGGAGTATGTTCACTTTCAGACTCGCTCTTTATCCTGGGCCTCCCAGGTCCTCTGCCGCCCCTCCCCTTAGGCCTCCCTGGGGTCCCCTTGGGTGGGGACATCACCTTAGTGGGCGTCTTGTGCGAGGTAGATTTAGAGTGCCTTGGCGAGGATGGGCTCCTGGGTCTGGGGCTCTTGGGACTTTTGGGGGTTTTTGTTGGAGTTTTGGAGGAGAATTTGTGCGCCTTTTTGCTGGGGGTTTTCTCAGGAGAATGACTTCTACTGTCTGAACTTGTGCTAGCTTCTGAGGACGCTGAAAAAATTTGTTGACTTTTTTGTCAGAATACATTTGAGAAGAAAGTATTAACAAATGCATAATTAAAATGCATGCATATATATATTAGCTTGTTAGAATTCATAGAATATAATTCTACTATTTTGTAGGCAATCTTAAGTAAAACAATTTTCTACAGCTTTCAAATGTTTTGATACAAAGCTGCTTTATGATGAGATGTTTTTATATGGAAGCACATCCAATGAATACAAATAAAAAGGCTATACCCCATTATACTGAAAGACTCCTTAAGCATAAATGTCTTAAGTGTCTAACAAACCAAATACCAGGCACCACTACTGCCTGTACCTAGTAACTCACCTGCTTCCATGCTCTGACTGTCTTCCCGGTCACTCACGGACAGACCCTTCTGTAGGGCCAACTGCCTCCGCACCTTCATCACCTCCCTCTTGATCCTCTTGGCCATCTTGCCCTTCCTGTTGTGTTTCAGGGTGTTGGCATAGTCTAGTTTGTCCAGAAGTATCTTCAGTTGCTGCTCCAGGGGGAGGTTTTCTCGGGTCTCAGCTGGGAGGAGTTCATCGCCTGAGAAAATGAATGTTACGTGATCAGGGTTAGAGAATATGACTATCTTGATGATAAGATTCTCTGTGGTAAATCTTCCAAAAATTTTTAAACAAACAGTTGTTAGCTTGCTTTCGATTGGTAAAGTTCCAAGTCCCCATTTCCCAATTTCCTTACCATCCTCCACAATCACTGGCTCCTTCTCCTCCAGCTTAGGTCTGTGTGGAAGGTGAAGTCCCGTCTCTGGGTCATACCCCACCCTCTCCGCCATCCTCTGGGCTGCCCTGATCAGTGCCCCTCCCTGGAGAAATAAGAAAAAGATATTGCCTGTACATACAAGGGAAATCATATTTTTTCACTCTTAATTTTAGCCTTGGCTCCCCTACTAAAGAAACAACAATGGGTAATGGTTCTGGGCAATGCAAAACCTGAAGTGACTGAAAATTTGATAACAGAACTGAAAGCTCCTGCTGAGATCTAATGAAGTCTGACTGTAACAGTTCAAAAGCCGCTATAATTTTAGTAATCACTGTTGTAAAACAGTGGACCACAACTGATTTATCTTTGGTCAGAGTAGATTTTGTCACCCCTCCTCCAGGCCCTCACTAGCTCCCCCTCCCCCAACTGTTGCTCTAAATGCTAGCTCTCTGTTTAGTTTCTCCCATGCATTCCCCATTCCTCTGTGAAAACAAACCCCCCAAAACCATTCCCAAAAATCCCCCAACCCCTTCACTACATACCTGGTCCCTCATTCTGACAGCAGCTCTATAGAAGACTGTGTCTTTGGCGTTGTATATCATACAATTCTCCAGTATTCTGTTGAAGTCTTGTTCAAACTGGTCAACTGTTTTGTACTGATGGCTCTCCAACTTTATGCGCATCTTGGCAAAATCCATGGGCACTTTGACAACTTTTAGATAGTCCGGCACCTGATAATAAATATTACCATAGTCATTCAGAGATATGTAATTTAGTGACTGAATCAGGAATTGGCCTCATGAACAATACTTATATATATATATATCAAAATTCCCATCAGCTCCAACCAAAGTAAATATGGCAAAACATCTTATCATTTTCTTCATGCAAGATTCGTGTCTCCAGACATAACCCTGCATTTTGGGGGAAAATGAACATCTATCATGGCAGCAAACACTTCCCTGGAATGCAGAGGTCACCCTTCATATTCAGGTCCCCTCAGAATTGAATAAAAAATCTTGGAATTCGTGATTCCACTACAAATCTCTCCTTCAAGGGTTATAACATTTATTCACTTAACATATTAAGTGAACCCAACAGTTCTGCATTATTGTCTAACAGAAATTGTCCATAAAGAAAGCACATTATAATTCATCATTCAAATACCTAGCATTAAAAACACTTAAAAAACAATATCCAAGAAGCTGAAAATAAAATAATTAAAGTTTGGTGGTCCATTCCATGCCTATTATTCAGAAAGCTGAAGATTGTCACACAAAAATTCTTATTTCTCATAAAATGGCTTCGACTGTGAAACACCATGAAGTATACATTGTGTTAGACTATGACATTTAAATGACCCGAGGATTGAAGTTAAAATGGTTGGGTTCGAGAGTTAAGCCATCAATTCCATTCAAATCTGAAAGTGTGTGATACATCAACTGGATTATGTTCACTTCTGTCTTTATGTCTCACCAAATCTTGCCAGCTGGATAGTTTAATAAAAAATGCCACATTGAAGCTGTCTTGAGTAAAAAATGCAAAGAAAAAGAAAAAAAATTTTTTTTGAAAATTTGAGCACAAGGGCAATTAGATATCCTGCACATTGTCAAGATCTGAATCACAAACATATCCAACCTTGCCTTATTTCAGAAATGTTAAATGTCAACTAGCAGTTTATCCCATCGACATGCAACATGTGTCACTCTGGGAACCTCTCTTAGGTCTTCTAGTCACCCCAATCCAACACAAATGTAAACCTTTTCAGAAAAATCCACCCTACTCCCAGACGTAATCATGCACGAGTTGAAAACAAAGTGGTCTTCTTACAGAGACAAAGTCTTTAACACAAAAACACGCAGCTGGAACACAAGCTGGCACCTTTCAAGTTTTAAAGACTATCTGTAGGTCTGGAAGTGTTTGTAAGTGGGTAGGTCTGGAATTGTTTGTAAAATGTGGCCTAGGACTGGTTGATCAGGACTTGGGCCAGGCAGTTGGTTAAAAACAGAGTGCTCAGCCAACTGGTATCTTATTGTTGAGTTTTGGTCAGGTTGTGTGTGTGCTCGCATGCATCCATGTGCATGCACACATGCTCACTTTTTGTCCACAATATTGAAAGCAAAAGCATGTGCGTGCTTGTACACACATGCATCAAAACACACACACACACACAGAGAGAGAGAGAGAGAGAAAGTATACTCACATCTTGTAAGTTGACAGGCTCAGCAAAGATATTGCCTGCATCTTTCTCCTGTAGCTGGTCCAGGGTGTTCCTGAGGAGGATTATGAATGGAGTGAGCTGCATCTCCGTGGCTAGCACATGGATCCGCATCTGGAATAAAACCCCATGATCATGTCAGAATGAGAGACTTAGTGACACCGGTTGCTTTGAAACATAAATACGGAGTTGAACATCTAAACTTACCCTGAAATTTTCACAGTCACATTTCAGTACAGAGAAATTAAACATGAACACCTCAGAAACAAAGAATTTAGATACTTAGTACCAATCATAAAGAACTGCAGTCATCAGATTGATAGACTAGAATTCTCTTAATTTTTGACCACTCTAACAAATTTCAGTTCACCTTTAATATTCTTTTCCACCGCTTCCTCTTAATCCATTTCCATTACTGCCTTTTCAGTTTGAAACCCTCTCTTTACAGACACAATGGTTCATTTTAATCGACTAATTTATTAGAGACCAATGTAAAGATCAACTCTTTGCCTTAAAGATCAGATTTTTCTCTGAAGTTTTTAATGAAAACCCGTCCAAGGTCCCCAGCTCCTCCCAACCATTTCCCATAAACTGTTTCCTATGAATACCTGTTCTCTTTTCAGTTTCTCCCTCTTCCTGATCAACTCCACCAGTAGCCTGGCTTTCTCCAAGTCCTGCCTCAGCCGCTGCCAGTACTTTAGCTGTTCTCTTAGGGCATAACTCTCTCTGTCATCTTCAATCTACCAAATAAGAATTATGATTTGTAAATATTCACATAATGAGGTGCTTGTAGATCAGAGAATTTGTGGTAATTACTAAATCTTTTCAATTGCAGTAATAATTCCTACAGTATATTTCACTTTTTCAAAATTTGTCATTTTTAGTTGCATGAGCATTTGACTCAACATTTCGAAGTATTACATAAAAACCATGGTTTAGGAGAATATTACTGGTTCGTTTTCTTCAAACTTAACAAGTATTTAGAATGATTCATTGCTTAATTAACCTCATGTCAGATATAGCTCTTAAAATCTAAAAGATTTTATATAGTTGTGTTAAAAAGTAGGACTAAGTTATTTGAAGTGAAACTCATATTCATGGTATATTTCTTATTTCTGAATCATACACAGAAACATCAGATGTTGATGACCACCAAATTGTAGTGCAGCTGTTAAGTAATTAACTCTAATAGATCCTGAACACAGATTCAGCATTATCACAGTAGAACAATTTGTTGTTATAACACACGCATGTCAGAAAAGCATATCTTCCACCCCATCATCTCCAAAACATTCCAAGCATGGAGATTAACAATGACCTCCATCATAACATAACTGAATATTAAGCCATTAAGAGTATTCCTATTGAAGATGCACTGAGATAATGAATGGGTATCGCACCATGAAAATACCAATTCATTAGAACCCTTAGATACGGCACATAAATTATCTGATGAACTAATCCACATGGGATAGGAAATGAGGTGTGTAATGCACTGTGCCATGAGACTGTGTCCTGTGTAATGAAATGATGTGTTAATGTCATCTTCATTAAATTGATATCTATATACTAATGCCTTTGCACCCCAGTCTGTGTGTGAGCGTGTGCTCTGACAATAACCAGAAATCCATATCATGTGGATGGAAATTGCTGAACCAGGCATAAAAAATGAAAATAAAAAAATAATAAAAAAGCCCAATATATGCACAAGAAGAAATTGGATATTAATTAGGATGAATATGTCCATAAAAGAGGTGTAAAAAAAAGAACATCAAAACTACTTTATTTTGGGAATTCAGCAGCCTGGTGTTGACATGGAACAAAATCGGTCCCAGTGCTTCGTGTCTGAACACATCCATCCATGATGTGTACTACAATGGTATCTGTATGCTGCAATACCTGCCATGTATTAATTGAACCATATTATAACAGGGATCAGTGAGATAATGAAGTCAGTCTCATGAGTTATCTTGCCACATCTGTGTGCCACTGTGTATCACCATTAAGGAACGGAATGTTTTAATTATCAAATAATAGACAAAGACTGGTAAGGCAAAGCCCTCTAGAAAATTTCAATACAAGTTTCACTAGAGTCACATCAAGATGTTGAAAAACAGTGGATGGTCATGCAACTGAGAACTTTTACACTTCCCTTGTCCTTGAAAAAAAAAAGGCATTAACAATACAGTTCAAGGAAAAAGGCACCAGAACAAACGAGAAATATTAACTGCGTACACCTGTTTCTACAAATCTTAAAGTGAACCATGCCAGAAATTCATATTAGTACTACTATTTTATAGCTCCTTTGGATTGTTTGAACAAAACAACCCAAAACATAGGGAACATACAACTTGGAAGATGAAACTGCCTGCTATTTTATGCCACATGTGAACAGTTTAAGTGCAAATCACCACTGTTGATTGTACTTGGGATGTCAAAGTTGACAAGTATGCCGTCACAGAATCACAGAGGTTGCAAGACGCCCAGCAAGACTTGACTTGGCTTTATTTGAAAAAAAAAAAAAAAAAAAAAAAAAAAAAAAAAAAAAAAAAAAATCCCATATTTTCCTTTCTCAATACATAATGCCTTGAAAAACTAAGAATAAAGAGCAAAGTGCCTACTGTGTATAAAATTATGAAATTTAGTCCCGCACACTTTTTCTCTCATGCGTGCATGTAGGTGCATTTTTTTTTTTTTTAGTTTTAATTGAAATAAAAACAATTTCCTTGCCATTAGCACTGAATGCTGTCATTCAATGATAACCAGCATTGGCAGCTCAGCCATTAGCCTGACATTCAGTATTGGCTTAAAACAAATGAAAAGAACAATTTATATTATAGGGTCCAATATTCTTCTTTAAAGAGAAAATGGAAAATCATTTGGGTTCCCAAGAAAAGAAAAAGTGAGGCATTCTTAGACCTTGCTCTTTCGAGCTGCCTGTCATTGTAGGAAAATACAATATCACCCAATTGTTCCAAGATATTTTTAACAAGTGACATCAGATCACAAAGATCAGCAATTATGTTGTGATAATCTGTTCTCCAGTCAAAGGGATTGTTTAACCAAAAGTGCACTGTCACATCTCATTGGCTAAGATGGTGATTTCGGCTTAGTAATGTGAGTATAATGAACCATTCTAGGAGTAAATATATCAATTATATCAGCCATTAAGCAGAAGGGTGCTTAAAACCAAAGGTCTGTTATCTTACGTCAAAAGTCAACAGAAGTTTTAATTGATGACATCTACTGGGACCCAACATCTGTCATTTTTTTCGTTTCCTAATTAAATTTCACTTATGAAGGATGGGGGTGGAAATAGGGTGAAGGCTAAACTTTTATTTTTTATCTTTACCAGCAGAATATACCCCTGGAAAAAAAGGACACTTGTTTTACAGACAAATTCACTAGTCCCACATAAAACTTACTACCATGTCTAGTAAGGGTGACTGGAGTGACTTATTTGATCTACTTTCATTCAACTCCCACAGTTACAACACCAAGGTAAGGGGTACCCCATGAATGAAAGTATAAAACTTTTGAAAAAAAAAGTGATTCATTTAATAAATATCAGAAAGTGTTGACTGCTCGACTTTTAATAAAGTGGTAATAATTTCAGAATTCTACCTTGAAACAACCGACTGCTTTCCAGCTAAATACCATCCCACAATCCATATATATAAGTATTTTTTTGACTGAACTCAACAACCTCAAAGGAGCAGTTTCACTACTTTGCAAGACATTCCTTGCTTCAATGCCTTTCACCACTGAATGATTTAGGGGTAGGGATGTACAGTGTAAAAACCATAGAGAGGTGTGAATTATGAGCTAGAAACATGTGACTAGGAGCTGCTCAGCCGCGTCAAAATCGTCAAAATCAGGGTCCCACAACCTGGTCTCCATTATTTTTATGTTCATAACAGGGGTAAGCACACGCCTGTGGATAGTTCTTACAAATCCAGGACCACAGTATTCATTATTTATTGTCCATTTCTTTTTCAAGCAAATTCTTGATCTATATATTTGGCAAGTGAGGAATTTTGTTTACTACTTCACTAATACAAACTGTTGCAAGAAAAAAAATGTTTTTTTAGTTTGTTTGTTAGAGTTAATGCTGGTTCAAATTGTGTTGAAACAAACAAGGAATTTATAGATTTGGTGCAAAAATATCAGTCAAGTGAATTAGGCTTATGTCATTCTCACAAGAGGACTTATGACCACACGATAATTTCAACTTTAAATCAACATCTGAATTCCTTTTTGATAAATCAATGAATAGCAGTCCTCTGAAATGAAATATTACACTTGTTTTCTGGGAAGAAATAATCTAGAGCTCATTATTTGTACACAAAACAATTATCAAGACTTACAAATTAGCTTACAGCCAACCTGGGCTAAGGACTTCATCAGACTGAGTAGATGTGGCTGTAATTGCCGTAATATTGGCCAGTGTGGGATTATGACATGCTTCATAATGTTTTATTTGCGCACAAACAATTATCTTTAAACTTCAGAAGTATACCAGCATTTACAGCTTTTAACTTAAGTTTAAAAGAATAGGTGAAATATATTATCCACTAAATGAAAGTACTACCTCATAGTTCAGTCCCCCATATCTACCAAACTAGGATATTTCATGTTCCAGTTATTGGACTTGGGGTTACCAGAGTTTAGTGTTGATAAACACAAAACTGAACAAAATCCAGGTTTATGACCCCGGCAAAACAGGGTTTTACGACGTGGCATCATTCAAAACCCAGATTGCTACGTACGTATGCATGTAGGCATGTCCACATTCTTGGCGTTCATAAAGTTAAACATATACGTCACATACTTCATACTCGTCACTATGAGGTCATGGCCTCAAGAATTTTCAGGCAGAACTATGTCAGGGTATTGGGCAATGTTAGAAATTACCTCCGACTTGAAAAACCAGGGTTAATAAACATTGGGAAGGGTCTAGAATTCATTTTTCTACTTTTCTTCTTTGCCACTGAAGTTTTTAAGTCATTTACAGCAAAACTGAAGACGATACTATAAGTGTAGCAGTGGGGTGTGGTGATGGAAACAATGAAGTCTTTTTCTCTCCTTCTATATCTAATCTTGATAATAAACATTTGCTGTCTAAATTTTATTTCATTGGTCAATCTGAACTATGTTAGTAGCTAATGCCAATATCTAAATATGGGTAAAGAAACTGGCAAGACATATTCATTCCACTGTTGGCAAAATGCACACTATTCTATTATCAAAATAAGGAACTTTATCTCCTGTATGAAATCCATGTCAGGCAAGACGTGTGTATCATCCGAATCCGGTTCAATTCCATTAAAAATGAACAAGGAAACACACTCCTCTGTCTGCCACTAAAGACAAAACTCAGAAAACAGGACATGAGGAACCAAACAAGAGCATGATCACCCTATAAAATGATGCCAAAACATCATCGATATCAAGATCAATATCAAAGCAGTGCTTGGTACAATATAATTAAGGCGTCATTAAATCAAATGACTGCAAACGTCCGTAATATCCTGTGACGTAAAATGAGTCTGATGGTCAGTTATCTATTGTCTGAACTATCCCCACCATTCAGAGCGGTGCTCTTAGAAGTGCAGATTGATTTCGTCTTGATTCTCTGTTGTGCAACAGTGAGCTGTATCTTGTAACATGAAGTCAGCCTAATTTCCTATTGACTCACCAGACCAATACTAGTGGGTTCTAGATGACCACTACTGGACAATACTACACTGGAGTCAGATATCAATAAATAAGGACAATATTGCCTATCCCTTACCATCCACTGTTGCAAAACTTAGCATCTGATTATGTCATTAGAAGCAAAATGGCACTTTTGGTCCATATAATATGTGGTGGTTAATCGATATTTATATGCAAAAGGTGTATTATGCACAAATAAAAGTCAATAATACTATACCTTATCAATCAAGAGATGCATCCTTTTATATTGGGTGTCTGAGAACTAGTTATTCAGTACTTAGTTTACTTTCTTACAAGGGACCATCTACATGTCTAAGAGCTCCCAAAAAATATATTTTTTTAAAAAACAATTTTAAACATTTATTTAGATCTGGGTTCTTGCAGTTTAAGTCATATGACACAAAATAGCTGCCACTGGATTACTTAATGAGGCAATACATGTACTTCCACATTCATACACACCGAGTTTCAATGCTTGCATGCATGCTCAAACCTGGTGATCACTGTATGCATGGAAAGAAACAATGATTGCACACATGTTGATGTCTTACAGTAATTGCTGTAATTTTGCATGCAATGTTAGGCTTGAACAATCTGCATGCAAAATATCATATTTAACTGTGAGTTTGAATGTGTAAGCTTAACCTACTAGCTTAAAAATAAATGGCTTTTGTATGGAAAACTGTTCACATGACACAGGAAGGGGGGTTGTACCTAAAACCATGGTCAACCACAAATTTCCCCCCTGATGAGGATAAAGGGTGGGAAAATCATTGCATACAACTACGTCTAGCCTATCTGTAACACTGGTGGCAGGGGGATGAAAGGGGGGGGGCTTAAGACACCTGGTCATTGCATAAATAACCATGCATAAATATTGGTGACTGACAGCTGAGCTGTGCTTAAACCCAACTTGGAGCTGAATCAAACCAATAAGACTCACTATTTTCCCCTCTCATTTATCAAGTGAAAAAATAGAGGAAATACAGCTGTCAAGATAGGAAAAGTCACCTGTACTATTTGCAAAGAGTCATCATTGATAGAAGACCTTTTATCAGACATCTACTTAAGTTTTCAATCAATTCACCTTACCACATCTAACTGTTTCACAAGAAGACGCCCTGTTGGTTGCTGTGGAAGGTTTATGGAGCCAAAAGTGCCACTGTGTTTATGAATGATGCTGAAAGCATTTCCACCAGATATTTGGTTATGTAACCAATATGACTTTTGGGAGGTTTTTGGAATCCATCTGAGGTCGAAGGGAAGGATGATTTTGGTACATTTAGATTAGTCACTCCTCGTTTCATGTGCAGGAAATTAATTTCTGAATAAATAACTCGAGAAAAATAAGCAGTTTGTTAGGTTCAACTCCACCCTTCTCTCACCACACTCACAAAGAAATGCACACCCAGGCATTCGCACCCAAATACACTTGTGAACAAAAAACGTGCATGCACACATGCACGCACGCACACACACAAGGAAGCACAAACTTACCTCTTCTTTATTCCTTGACATGTGATTGGACTGCAGTCGTCGCAGCAGAGGAACGCCATTTCTAGACTGTCTCTTAAGGGTCCAGTAGCCAAGCAGACGCGATATGAAAAGCTGCTTCTTGGCAAGGGTCACCTTACTGGCAATGGATGACAACCTGGAACACAGCAAATTTCATTTGAATCATGCATTCATATAAAAAGCGTGATTTTTTTTGGCAGTCACAAAATGTTTTTGATGATCTCTGATGTTCTAATATAAATGATATGTAATATTTCAGATGAGCAATTGAGAGCTTTGATCTTACTCTTCATGTCATATAGTGTGACTGTTTGTGTATGTATGTGTGTGTGAGTGTGTGTGTATGTGTGCCTGACATCAGTTGAGAGATAAGAAGCAGGACAGGTCTTTCTTCAATGTTTCAAGCGACAATTATGATTAAAATAAAATCTGTATTTTACCTTTACTTTACTTATATGTAATACATATTCTTTATAGACGTAATAGGCATAGGTTATTTAACATATCTAACCAATCTCTGGAATCAATAACCAGACATGAGTAAGTTTTTACTATCATATCTCAATATATATACACAGTGACTAACAGAATGAGCATACAACACAGACTAGTTAAATGACAAACCAATCTTGGTCATGGTATTTTTACATATCTGACCAAATGCTTCCCAAGTTATCTTCCATCAAATTAAACCAATTTAATGTGGTGATCATGGAAATACAGAGACAGCGATCAATACTTTGATGCCATATATAAGAGGTCAAAGACAGACTATGGATGAATTGGCAAACCTCTTTGCTTAGAACAAGAGTGTAAAAGAGATGCAGCTTCCAAAATAAATACAAAATATGATTTAAAGCTGTAAAGAGTAAACTGTGAATTTGAAATAATATTCAATTTGTTCAGAATTGAAATGATATGCTTTTGCACCCCCTCCCTCCATACAATGATAATAAAAAGAGAGAGAAAAAGCAATAATTTTAGAACCAAAGACCTGACACATCTGACTGTCATAGCTCCTACCCTATATCCAACCTACAAAAATAAAACAAAACAAGGAACAAATTAATTTTGATATGCTAAAAAAAAAAGATTTTAAAAAATGTTGAAACCTGATACACCCCACTCATTTCTGTATTAACTAATATCGACCCCACACTAGTGGTATTACCCCCCCTCCCTCTAAAAGGGGTTAATCCCTTGGGTTGACCTCTCTCTGGTGGTCCACGCAAATACAACAGAATGCATTAACATATAAAATCACCCCCAAGTTCTATCAAGTACATCTTCCTGGCAGATCTACACAGAGTGCCAATGTCAGGTTATTTAGTGACAGCCGTCTTCCATGCGTCACTGTATACCCATGGTGTGTACAACTTGAAGAGTGTAAACATCTTTACAGAAAAAAAAAATGCCAATTTTTTCCCCATCTCTATCAGACCTGCTCTTGCAGAACTTTTTATCACATCAGGGACAAGCGAAACCAGTGACTTGAATCCCTGTTACCACACGAGGACATGGGAAGATGATCCCCGAGCCCATTGTGTGTGTGACTGCTGCCTTATCTCAATGAGCCGCCCCGACCTTAATGAATAGCTTCTGTTATTGTGCCATTAAAACTTATCCTGTATTAATAGCATGTGGCATATGGCACAGTCTGTGCATTAACTGTACTATTGATTGGCTTGGATCTGGTAACATACAAGGCTACATGTGTAGAAATTGTAATGAAGCTGGGGTTGTCTGGTTCCAAAGAAATAGGTTTGAAGAAATAGGGTTGCAGGTAGAGACACACGGCTTGCTGGCTGGGGAGATGAGACTGCTTAGGACAACCACTAATGCAATGTCTAAGGTTCATTCATCAAAATAACAGCAAAATGAATACAAACAGTACTTGTAAACAAACTTACTGGGTTAAATTACCCTTTTCTAGCTCTAAATCTCATCTAAAGGGCACAGAGACAATATAAAAAATTATCAACCCTCAATCTAGTTCCACCTTAAGTCTCCCACAAGCCAATAAAAGGGGACAAAAAAGTTGTCAACCAAGCAACTAAGGTGTCATACGGCATAATAAAGTAGGTGTCACTCAAGTGCTAGAGAGAGATAAATATCTTAACAGCATTTACGTCAAGTTGCTTTTGGTTTTTCTATAACTTTATCCCATCATTCCAGCAGAGCACAGAAAATTCAAAGGTGCTTCTACCATTCTATTTTAAAGGTAATTGCGTGCAATGGCATCCAATTCAGTTAGGGGTGAGCAAAAATACAGGAAAACCAAAAGATAGAATCTATAATAATCGGTCACCTTAGAGAGATTTGACAGAGTTGCGTGTTTGTCAGACATAAATGCCACATACAACTTGCATGAATGCCTGTCAATTACCTCATGTAACAAAATCTGCCTCTTTGCCCAAAAGGCAAGATTTCTTCAAAAAAATATCAACATTGATCAAATTTACCTGTACTTCTTGGCACCTTTAAGCTTTGAAGTATTTAGTGACATAGTCTGAGAATGTGACTGCGATCACCAATACTTCAAGTCAAAAACATACAAAGTTACTAATTATACTGTCTGAAAGGTACAGACAGAGAAAACGCAGTGGGAATATAACAAACATGTTCATGTATCCTAATAAGAACAGATCCCATTTCTCTCACCTATTTAACAGAACTTGACTTTGGGGGAATTAATCACCTAAGATACTGTGCAGAACAGAATACAGATGAGATAATTAATCCTTTTGATGAAATGGTTCTTAACAACAGTGACAGATCTTCCAGACGCATGGAACAACTTGAAGCTGCATACCTGGCAGATCAAACAGAGACATGGATCAAATTCTGTTCCAGGCTCTTTAGTGCCCGTTTTTCTTTCGTCAAATGTCTCACTTTTAGGCAAAACAGGTGCATTTACATAAAAAGGAAACCCTTATCATGTTTTTCGGCAAGATGCGATATTGTGTTTGCTCAGTAAGTGATAAGCTGTCTGCGCAAAACTATACCCCTCCCAAGCACAACAAAACCAAATATTGTTCCTGCCATGGGTATCTGGTTAAGCAATTTGGAAAATCAGAGTAATATATCTCCCTCCGAAGGCACAACAAAACCAAATATTGTTCAAGAAGTGAGGGTCTGGTAGTGTCATTTGGAAGATCAGAGGAAGTGTACTACAGCCTATCAATCACTACAGGTGCAGCTTGACTTGTATTTGTCAGATAATGACACAGTTACAATTAGCAAAGTTATAATTAGACTCTGAAAGTAAAGTCCCACTTGAAGGCAAAATCAAGAAGTAAATCTACTTTCTTTAAGAGAAAAAAGAAAGGAAAGATTAAGCGTTTGCCTTGCCATGCTAACACAAACAAAAGCTTACAACAAAATAACTTATGTCTATGTATCAACACTTAGGAAGAAAAAATATTGAAATCTTAGTGCAAAGAAGCAGTGGCATAAACCATGAAATACACACCTTGGCTGAGGAATTATGGGAATGGACACCACAGGCATAGCATTCCGCTTCTCTGCCAAAATCTTACGAGCCTTGCGCATCTTTTGTCTGGACTTTGCTTTTGCTTTCTTCGCTGATAACGACTTATCTTCCACTTCATCATCGCTTGCCATCATTGATCCCCCGCGAGAGTCGGCGGGCGTGTGCACATCGCAAAAGGCAGTCTTCCTAACACCTATGGACCCATGTGACCCTGGTTCTTTGATGGGCTCTATTCTCATGTACAGTCCTGCCTGCTGGGCGCAGGTGACATGAAAGGCAGTGTAACAGTTTGTCTTATGGCACTGTATACAGGCTCCAGTGCCACGCTGCTTACAGATGTAACACGTCAGCTTCCAACGTGCTGGCGGGATGTTCGGCAAGCCATCGACAGGTTCTAGGAATACAGTATTGGCAAATCCTACCTCCGGAATCCAAAGAGCACAAACCACGTGGGCCCAGCGGCCATCATCCGTTTGTTTGAACGCACCACCTTTGTTGGGACACAGGCAACAATCTACAGCTCTGGATGGTGACTGCAGGCATCGCCGGCATAACCACTGTCCTTCTGGGATGTAGGGCACCCCATAACACTCCTGATGGACTGCCAGGTTACACATGTCGCAGAACAGTATAACATTGCTGTTCTGACACTCTCCGTCCATGCATATAGAACAGACGGCATCTTCATCGATAGAAGGGGACGGGTCTTTGCCAGAGGTCTGGCTCTGAAAGTGGGCCTCTTTCTCAAATCTGTCCATCAGCATCTCAAACACCTCCTGCCCAACCGAAGAGAGGTTATCAGACTTCCTTTGCTCGTTTACCAACTCCAGCCAAGCATAATCCTGAAATGTAAAATTACTATATTAATAAATCAAATAAAAATATAATCAACATTTAATCTGACAATGTTAAAAAAAAAAACAAGAAAAAAAAAAGACACGATACTTGTTATGAACATGCCATCATACATCTATGAAACCGCAATAGTGGGGGTGCCAATGTGGGTGCATGTGCATTAATAATAATAATAATGATAATAATGATAAATAAAAAAATATGCACATACACAATTTAGACAATTGTTTAAAGTTCAATTTTGTCTCAAAATTATCATACTGATAACCTAACCATCATTTCAGAGTACAAAGACTCAGAACAACAAGCTTTCATCGAAATGCCATTAAAAATAATCTTTATGCATTAACGGAATAAAAGAATGCTTCAGTACAGACTGATGTCGTTAATCAATACTGACAACAGCCCTAGGGACACTTTTTATGCAGTCACCCAGTGAATGCTGACAGCTATCATGCAGCCAGAACCTTTCTAGATACAATAATTATACATGCAATCATATTTGCATATTAATTTTTACTGTAAATTAAAAGGCAATAAACCACACCCTTGTGTGACATATGCTTCATATTATTTAGACTTGGATAATTATATTTTTCGATAGTCAGATTGGTAAAGATATCATGCACAATGTTTAGACAGACGTGCACTTCTTAATGTAAAAATCATTCTTTTTGTTTCCTTTATAATTTATTTTTATCATCAATCTGGTGACCAATTGGATAATATGTAATACATATTTAGATAATACAGAAAGTAAGCCAAACTGAGTTTAACCATTAACATTCAGAGCACAACTGTCAAGCATATGGCTTGTAGCCTTCAGCATATTTTTTTCAACAGCACTATACCCTATGCATCTTAGCACTTTGGCAGGTGTAAATAAGAACACACATGATGTTAAAGAGTCATCCCAATATATTCTTGTTTAAGCCAAGTAAAGTAATTCAACATAAGAAAGATCAAATATGAGAGATTATCCTAAGGAATGCCTAAAATTTATAATTTTCAAGCTTTTATATGCTCAAGAGAGCAAAAGCAAAGAAAGTAAGAAAATTCCAAACCTCTTCATCCATGTCATACTCCACTTCATCATCCATCTCATCAACAGATTTCTCTATAAACCTGTAATAAGAAGCTGGCCTAGGTGGGGCTGGCGGGGGCTTCACATAATCCTCCAGAACTTTGAATGCAGGCTCAGGGAGCTTATTTGTGGCAGCACTTGGTTCTTTCTTCAGTTTTGTGTTGTCTATTTGCTTTCCAGTCTTTTGTGGGCTTTTAGCTTCAGTTTTTTCCTCTTTCTCTGTGTTGTCAACATTCTCAATCTCATCCTGACATATAATTTCCAAGGGCTCATAGATGTTGATTCTGTGCACCCGACCATCAAGATCAACTTCTACCAGTCTCTGTGCCTCAGCATAGGTAAGGTTATGTTCCCTGGCAGGTATGCGGATAAAATCTGCAGGGCTCGCTGACCTACGAACAGATCTGTGATGTTGCTTTCCCTTCTTTCTGCCTGGCTTCTTCTGAGGGGTGGGGCTGTTATTATCGGGATTGTCATGATCAAAATGATACAAGTGAAATTGAATTCCTGACCAGCTTTTGTATATTTTACCACACCCGTTTACTGGGCATTCGTATGGTGGTTTGGTTGCTTTCAGGTTCTGACAAAACGTTTTGACATCGAATCCCAGCTTCATGTTGACGCTCCACGTGTCGAAACTAGGTCACGAAAACCAAACTAGGTCAAACTTCCGGAAGCAAACCTAGAAAAGCGAAAATAAGAACTACAGCAGGATAATACATCGTTTTTACAACAAATTATGAATAGCATATGGATAATAAAGGTACGAACGCAACGCGAATGATACGAAAAATCAATATTTCTCGGAACAAAGAGCAGTGGCAGGTGACCTCACTGCAATATGGATCCATTCATTCCATATTCGCATTCAGTTGACCCAGTTTTCCCTGCATAAATTCAAACTGATTATCTTCCATTTTTACCCGCCAAGATGCCAAATTATTACAATATTTAGAGAGGGGTGACTATGTTTGAAAGAGCCTGTATTATGTTTTATGTTATCTTACTACCGTTATAATACAAATCGAAAATGAAAATACAAGTTCAACAATTGACTAAACAAAGGACGCCGACTGTGTTGATGAAAGGCGAGAGGTGGCTCAGTTTAACATCAAATTATGTCAAAACTTCGGCAAAAATCGAAAAAGTACCTGGTGAGAATTCTTCCAAATGGACTGTCAAAGCTGTCACTGTTGTCAGAAAATTCATCTGAAGCAAATCCTCGGCAGAAAATATGTGCGAAACCTAACGAACGCAAACGATGAGGAGTGTCTGGGTCACCGGACATCCGGGATCTCACAGCTGAAGTGACTGCGCAATTGTCTGCGCACCGCATTGTTTACTTCCGGTGTTATGGCGGGAAAATTACCTGTCAGTCACGTGGTAGTATCATTACAGGTGGAAAAGCGTATTTTATGGTTAACCTGTTGCACCACTGCCAAGCCTTTAGTTTTGTTTATTGACGTCGAATGCTTTCTTCATTTAAAAGTTTCATTATCGTTTCATTGATGAGGATTTATAAAATATGGTTGAATTTTTTTTTTATTCTTATTTAGTATTTTCTTAATAAAGCCCTAAATTTAGTATCGGGAAAAATAAGGTTTTGAAAATCAAGTGCAGGATGCAAACGCTTTGCCTGAAACTCAGACGTATTTCATGATTGATTGACATTCTATTTTTTTTAAACCTTACACCAGAGAAACTGCCTTTGTAAATCTATTTTCAGGCGACAAAAACAGCGGACAACTACCGGGTAAATAATTCATTTGTCCGGTACATTTAAAACGGAACCTTGCCGTGTCTGTGCGTACATGTGCAAGTAAAAAAAAGACATTTTCAGAATGGGATAGACGATCTGAATCAGATTTTTCTGTGCCATTCATTTCAAAGGCTTCAACCTAAAGGATGTTATGTAATTATCTCAAACCTTCCGATTCTTTTTATATACTCTGTATAGACATTTTCAAAAGTGCATTGTATACTTTCAGTGGCGGAATGGGGGGGGGGGGGGGG